TATTATTAATATAGGCGTTTTAAAAATTTTAAAAATCTTTAATCAAAGATATCTTAGCAACCACTTGACCAAAATCAATGAACTTTTTTTTATTTGAATTCTACAGATCTGTGAAATTTAAATAAAAAAGCTCATTGATTTTGATCAAGTGGTTGTTGAGATATAATTGATCAAAATTTTGGTATGAATATTGATGCAGTTATTATTAAGTAATATAGGCATTTTAAAATTTTTCACAAACTTTAATTGAAGATATCTCAGCAACCACATGACCAAAATTAATGAACTTTATTTTATTTGAATTCTACAGATCTGTAGGATTCAAATAAAAAAAGTTCATCAAATTTGGTCATATATTTGCTAAGATATCTTTGATCAAAGTTTTGGTGCAAATATTGACACAGTTATTATTAAGTAATATAATTATTTTAAACTTTTTTAAAACCTTTGATCAAAGATATCTCAGCAACTACTTGACCAAAATTGATGAACTTTTTTTTATTTAAATTCTACATATCTGTAGAATTTAAATAAAAAAATGTTTATTGATTTTAGTCAAGTGGTTGCCGAGATATCTTCAAACAAAATTTTGAAAGTTTGTAAACAATAAAGTGATAAAATTGAAAAAATCTTTATGTAACCATGGTACAAATAACAAAAATCCATGATGCAAATAGCAATTCCCTTTAAATATTATTATATATATATTTTTTAAATATATTAAATTTTAATAAAAATAAATCTGATATAACAATTTTAATATTTTAGTAGCCAAATATACTTGTTAACTATTGATAGTTTAAGAGATAGTAGTATATACTAATACAGTATACAACTATATAACAGATAATATATACTGATATACAATACAATTATATAACAAGTAATATACACTAATATACAGCATACAGTAGCATATGGTATACAGTGATATACAATATAATATATAGTAGCATATAATATATAATGATATATAGTATATAGTGATATATAGTATATATTGATATATATTCTAACATTTTAATTATTTTAAATATAATATAAATTTTAATATAAATTTAACAAGAATTATATCTAAAATATAAACTATAAATTATAATGTATTGTTTTATAAACTATTAATATAACATTATAAATTTATACTATAATAATATGAAAAACTAAAAAAATATTAAGGCCTGTGAATAGTAAACTAGTGATAATAGCAGATCTCTGGTTTGAAATACAAATTAGTAATACCTGGGCAAATAAGTAAAAGAGGTTATCTAATAATGAAATATTAACTTTGTTATATAAAAATCTAACTAAACAGCAAAGATTTGGCTTAAAATATATATATATAAGAGGTTTTTAGTAGGTATACCAATTTGAAAAGCTTTTAGAAACCAATTATTTGAATAAACCAAATTGGAAATTACTAAGATTAGTTTGTGGATTATAGAGAATATAGTTGAATAACTAGAATTAATTAGTTGTAAAATACAAAAACTAGATAATATATAAGCAGAATATGAAATATTCTGATAGGTTTAGATTACGAATAAAGTAGTCTAAATCTTATATTCAAAAATTAGTTTAGTAGTAGATATATAAGTAAACAACAAGGTTGTATAATAGTATACAAACTTAAGAATTAATAAAGATACAAGAGGCATAACCTCATCTTAACACCAAAAAAAATTATAAATACAAAAAAATTTTTGGTAAGCACTAAACTTTTTAGTTTTATTATATTTGTACAAGTACAAATAGTAGTATTTTTTGTAAATACTATTTTAAAAATTACTAATAAAAATACAAGATTTTATCTTAACACCAAAGAAAAATAATATACAAATTAAACAATTTTATAAATAAAAAATTATGTACTATTTAAGATTAAAGTAAGAGTAGATTAAAGTAAGAGTAGATTTAAAAAAAGAAAATATTATAATTTATATCAAAGTTTTACAAAAATTTTTTTTATTACTTGAGTTTTATAAAATATTTTATAGAAACGAAAAAAGCCAAATTCTAATTCTATAAATAGTAATTGAATTCTTTATATTTTTTAATATATGCAAAACAACCCTTTATTTAACAATTTTAATAATAAGAACTCAATTAACTTGCAATTAGATAATGCACGTGGGTACTGTGTCAAATGTCTAGTTAAAACAACAAAAAAGTTATTATATCAAAAGTTCGCTTGTAAAATTTTATACATTAATCATAGTTGCGTAAATCAAGAATGTATTTATGCGAGCAAGTTGTTAATGATAAAAAAAATCTATATATAGATTAATTAAAGTGCATATTGTTAGTATGCCGCCACAGAATCCACAAATTTTAACAATAATCATGAAAGAATTTTTCTCAGCCCCCGGACACTAACAAAATATATAGTATGTATTAAAAAACATTCTATATACATTATTGAGTTCTACATAATTATATTTTAGGTAGACAAAAAAAACCTTATACATTGCCATTTCCGAAATTATTATTCAATAATCCAAAATATAATTACATAAAATTTTATACGGCATGTTTCTGAATTAGCATGAATATTTCTACGTAATAACTAGAAACTATAAGAACATTCTCGCGCTGAACAACCTTCAAGTACGACTTAACAAACATTAAGAATGTATATAAAGTACGTATCAGCACTTAAAGTATGAAACTAGTAATTGTAAACAAAGGAGTTTCCGAAGGATCTATACCTAATTTAAAAAAAAGAAACTTTATAATAGAGCACAAGATAATAATAACAATCCGTTACTTCCTATTTTGATAAGTTTGTGAAATGAAGCCTAATCGTTCTTGTACAAAATGCTTTACGCATACAAGAATGCGGAAATGATTTTAAATAAAGAATTCAAAAATCATTAAATTCGTATGAGCAATTAATGGGCATCGGTTTCAAGTGTTGATGTTGCGTTTTTCAAACAACTGACCCCCCTTTTTGTCGTCAAGTTCTTTTTTGCCATAAATGCCACTATCAGCGACACTATCGGCGACACAAAAAATGTTAAAATCGTGGTCTTACGCCTAAACAGGATATTTTTAGTTCTCCAAATTTACTTAACTTCAAAGTACGTAAGAGAATCTTCTTCTTTATAGTAATACTTTTATAAATGACAATAACACAGAAACAATCTACATGATTATCGTTTACTAATGTGGATTAAAATTTTTTCCGAAGATCCATTATTTATTAAAAAAGAAAAATAGATTGTAGAATCTAGATTATTCAAAGAATTCAATATGCATGATGACCAAAGCACAACTTTACATCACACATTTCTGAATATTCTTAAAAGTCTTACGTATTCCGATTTTCATTGGTTAAAAACGATCCGTTTTCACAAATGATCCCACCCCTATTTATATTATTTATATGATTTATATATGTGGGAAATAGGAGAACATTAACACAGGCAGCTCAACTAATTACTAGAAGTCAATCAAGTATAATTTAGTATAAAAAATCGTTATTTAAAAAAGACCATAAACGACGATTTGCAAGGGTTTTGAGAGAACCAGTATCAGAATGAAAGGACGCATTCCTAAAAGTATGTGCATTCTCACGCGTCTTCTAAATGACGAACCTTTTCAATATACAGATATAGCGGTATATAGTATAATATTATTACTTCTATCATTGTACGAACTCTCGAAGTGGCACTAGTGCAGTAGTGAATGGTTAATGGTGTCATACATGCTTCAATGCTAGTTTTTTGTTCGATATGCATAAAGTGGACAAAGCAAATATGTTATGTACAATAACATGTGCTCTTGATAAAACCAAGAATAGAAATATTACTTACCAATCATTTTAATCATTTTTTACAATACGATCAGTTAGTAACTTTATTTTCTGTTTATATTCGGAAAAATAAACAAATAAATTGGCAAAATAAATACCTGTGCTTATTTTCTTTACAACTTTTTCTTCATACAGTTGTAAACTCTTCGTTCGGTGATTATTAGCATTAAAAAAAAAAAATAAATAAATTTTTTGAAATTAATATCAATCTGTTAACTGCATAAAAAGATGGGAAAACCAAGTATGCAAACATTTTATTCGTTATTTAATTATGAGGATGTTTAACTTTCAAAATACTGAAATATATTAAACTCACTAAAAACGAAAAAATTTTATTAAAATTAAAAGAACGAAGCAAAATGCAAATTGATAAACCATTAACCAATAACAATATGATGTTAGATTCTTTGTTATTTCCAATTAGTCCAACTTCACCAGGTAATTTTTTATTGCAACCTTTTCTACAATTTTCAGAATTGATTAAATGCTAAACTTTTCTTTAAAAAAGATCATCTAATGTTATCACAACCACTCGTCGCAACTGATATGTCCTCTCCGCAAGCCAATCTTTCACGCAAAATCCTCGGTGCAGACACTATTTTGCGCAAGATTAAAAAGAAAGCATCAAACAAACACCTTACAGCCAAAGCAAAGCGACGTCAAAAAAAAGGATTGAGCAGGGCTTTGATGAATGTAGAAAAAGAAGAGGTTAAAATTGCTAAAATGACTGATAGAATTACTTTGAAAAGAAAGATCAAAAACATTTGGGGATAACGCATCTTTTTTCTTTCGTGAATAATTGCGTTTTTGCTATTAAATATATTCCAATTTATTATTCTAAATATTCAACTTTAGAACTCATACATTAATACCAACTCATCTTGTATTGAATTTAGCTATATTCATTTACATTAAACACTTTTTTTAAATAATTTTTAGTGAAGAGATTTAGTACGTTTTCGTGCTCCATTGTTTTTAGCATTTTGATAATAACTAGTTCGTTCAGCTGGAATGGATTTCAATTTAAAATATGCTAGAAATTAGGAAATTAGTTGATTATATAGATTCGAGTTGTTGAATATAATTGGTGATTAATATTAAAGAGATGTTTGTTAGTATGAATTCATTAAATTGATCAACAGAGAAATAATATCGAGTGGAAATACCTCTATCAAGAACCAATTCTATATTACATCGATTCTTTATCAATGCCAATAAAGGCCATGTAGACTGTTCTCCTTTTAATATCCAATAATCCAATGATTCGTGTGTTGGGCTAGAAAACAAGGTTTTAAAATCCTATAGAAATTGATGTTATTAGTAAGGTTTACTCTATTCAACTACTAATATGTTAAATACTCACTGCAATGGTAATAGAGGGTACGATAGTAACGTCCCCAGACACTTTCTCATCAACAATTCCACGAAGTCTTCGTGGTAGAATTCGCATTTGTTCAAGCTGTTGATTAATTTCAAATATTAGTCGTATAACTTAACTCACTTAACATACAATAACATGTTCATTTAATTATATCATGCAAATTAAATATTAACCTGAAATACTCGGTGTTTAATTTCAGTTGATAGAAAATATCCACATTTTACCAAAAAATTTGTTCGCGTTGTTTGTTCTCGGGACATGAATGGAACAATACAAGGATTTGCTTGAGATACAATAAAATGATTAACATTAAATAATTCGGAAAGTCTTGTTGACGGAGATTCACTATTGCGCAGAATAATCGAGATAATAATACGTGAATTTATTAATAAAACTACAAATGGATAAGTTATTATTGGCTCGTACCTTTCAGATGGAACCGCATCTGTCCATTTCTTAAATTTGATATCTAAATAAAGACATATACGTTAAGTTCTCATTATTTTTACTAATTTTATTATAATGATAATTAGAATTTATATGCACCAGTGGCCCATGGAATTTGTTTGCCAGTTTTATCCTTTGCTAACAAATCGTAACTATCGTAGAGACCCATTATAGCAACCGAAGCGCAAGCAGCACTTGATATTAACTAATTTTTGATTTTTTCCTCATTAATATATGTGTCGTACATACATGAAACATATCAAATCATTTATATAAATACTCACTACATTGGGCGCGGTCAAATAGTTTAGCAATTGAGGAACCTCAAATTTTCTTGTTGATGAAACTGTAATATTGAGAACTCGCTTTGATTTCTGGTATGCTTCCTATGAATATTATATCGATGCTTATTATTATGAATTTAACATATATCTATATATATTAATTACTTTTGATAATTTACTTCAAAGGTTAGATCTCCAACATTTTTAAGAACACAGTCTTCCAAAACTTTGATGTCTAACAAATAACCTTGATAAAAGAAGGAAAAGCTTAAATCTGGCATCATTATAAAATCAATTATAAAACATTCAATTAATAGAAATAGAATTTACCATGCTTGAGAAGTCGCGTGATTTTTCTGTTAATATTGCCTTTACTTCCAACTTTACTAAAAGCTCCCAAATCAATCCCACCAGGTTGAAAGATTTTCTAATATTCATTAAATAACCTTTGTTAACAACAAACTGTTTAATGATGCATTTATTATTAATTTTACTATGCGCAAGAATTTTTCTTACTGGTAATTCCTCATCAGTATGAACGCACACAAGAGCAGCTATAAAAGCACCAACTGCAGAACCACATATGACCCTTGGTAATAATCCATTTTCATGAAGTGCTTTCACAACTCCAAGATGATAAAGCCCTATAAATCGATATTTAAAATCATTTTACAATATTCGAGAAGAATCAAAAATACATAAGCATTCATGATATTACCAAAAGCTGCTCCACCGTAAAGGACTAAGGCAGAACAACCAAAACTTTGACGAGTATCATGAAAGAAATCGGGCTTAGAAGTATGGGAAACATCCGAAAAATCTGACTGATTAATATATTCAAGTTGAGTTGCAACCTCTTCCGTATAATCTTCAATCAACTTCTTTGTTCTATAAAAATTTTTTAAAATAAATATTTGAATATATAAATTGAAAAATCAAATGTTTACTTAGACTTACCCTAAATATGATTGACTGAACAACCGAGGATCATTCAAACCTCCCAAGTTGCGCAAAAGGCCTAAAATTCACGAATGTAATCTCATGAAAATTTGATCAAGCATTTAATTAAAATGTTTTTAAATATGAAATAATTTACGAACCTGTTCTCAACATATAGATCATCGTTGAAATATCATTCTTTTCCCTAATTTGTTTAAGGTGACCTAATCGGCTTTGAATAAGGTTAAAATCATAATATGGAGATGCTGGATCCAATTTCCATTTATCATTATCTAATAAAAGTATTATTTATCAAGCATGTTAACATTGATGAAAATTTTTTTAAGTTCACTCTATTAAATATATATACCTAAAAGACTTGTATAACGAAAGATAAAAATTATAATCAATATACATTGTGTATATACATTCTTTATATAAAAAAAATGAAGAAATGGATGTACTTACACATCCAATTCTCGTGCCTTTTCAACCCATTCTTCATAATTCTTTGCTACAGCAAGTTCATCTCTAAGTTTTTCTTCCGGAGTTTTTTGGTTTCTAAATCTCTATAAAAGGATTAAATTTAAGAAAATTGTTATATTATTGTAAACATTAAATTTGATTACTCACCCTTAATAAAGGTGAAGACACTCGAAAGATCCAATAGAAAACTGCAGAAAATATTAAAGCTAAGGCGCTAATAAATCGATTCTATAAAATCATAAATAAGTTTAGAAACTATGTTAAAAAAAATAATCCAGAATTGCATTGATAAAAAAGAAACTAACAAGCATAACGACCAAACTTGAATGATAGTGGATCATAGATTTTGGAGACTCCCTTTACTCCCTTTTATAGTAAAATTTTCGATTCGAAGTAACATGTGAATTTATGCAAAATTGTAAGTGCATAATTGTATCACTTTCTCTATTTGTACATGATTGGATAAATAGTTATCACAAAATGGGTTGCCCAGTATATTAATTAACAAGTTCTCTTAGTGTTAGAGTTTGGAACCGGATTTAATAATTCAAATTTATCACATTAATCTTATTAATAAATTGGGCAATTTATTTAAATATATAATTGTATATCGATATGTTAGCGCTGTAACGATAATAAACTAATAAATCCAGTTTAAAACAAGACGCTATCATCTGCTGATTATTAGTAACACTAGGTTATCAAAATCTGATACCGATACGGCCTTGCATCTAATCTAATACTAATAATCTAATAATTTGATTTGGTTTAAGTGATTTTTGAGAAATATGCAGAAATATGTCGTGTCACCTTATCAAAAGTTTGATTTAGGTGATGTTTGAGAAATATGCAGAAATATGTCGTGTCACCTTATCAAAAGTTTATTTATTATAACGGATATCGCATGGCCTAGACTTTCGCTACGCTACGATTAAATTATATATATATATTTTTTACGATAACTGTTGATGCTGCCCACCTTTGCATTAATGCTAATTCGAATATGTATCAAAATTAAAAGTTTTGGAATTTACAAAATTGTAACATAACTTTTATTTAATATTGTATTGGAGTAATTTTTGTTTTTAAGTAAGCTTTTATTTTTTAAAATTATTTTGCATAGTTAAAGGCAACACTCTTCTGAGACTAATTATGAAAAAAATTTATTTTTTATAGACAAAATGGTGAAATAGAACCCCTAACAATCTATAGACTATACATGCTGACGAAATTATTTTAGGTTTCGGGGTACGAAATTAAAATTTGAAGACGAAATTGTTTTTGACC